ATATATATATATATGCTTGTATATACTTGTTTATGTATTATTTACACACACAAGATCGTTTACAGATTCTTCTTTGAGATTACAGAAACTTGGTGAAGCTGTTAGATAGCTTTGCCTTAGGGCGAAGGCATTACAGCAAACTCTACCAAGCTGACGCGTCAGGGTTTAGGTGTTTTTTCTAAGGGGTTTAGGGTATGGGGGTTGGGTTTAGGGTTTAGGGTTTGCTGTTCCTCTCTCACTCGTCTCACCCGATGCTGGCCTTTGAACAAAGGGCGGGGGCGGGAGCTGCATGCCCGACATTGTAAAGGTTCGGAGGGTCAACCCTCAACCCTAAACCCTACACCCCTACACCCTAAAACCCTAAAACCCAAAAACCCTAAAACCCTAAAACCCTAAAACCCTAAAGCCCTAAAGCCCTAAACCCCCAAGGTTCGGAGGGTCACAAGGCTTCTCGAGCCTTTCGGTATCGTCTTCAGGGCTTCCAAGCACTTCAGGTGTTGAAGCCCCAGGCGCGAGGCCTGTTTGGGGTTGAGGGACAAGATCCTATACCAATCCAGAAACCCTCCACTTTCCAGTATCTGGGCAGTTCTCTAGATTAGGGTCCCCTTGTATAGGTCCGCAATATAGTACGGCACCCTTATGAAAAGGATCCTAAAATGGACTTTAATTTAGAGAACCACCCCACATATACCCATAGGCCCCATAGTAGCTCCTTTTTGGGGTTACCTTATAGGATTCTAAATATGAACCCCAAAAAGGAACTACTGTGGGGCCTATGGGTAGTTTCAGGCTGAAGTCAAGCTCTTTAGAGATTTTGGGCTCCATGATCCGACCCTCAATCCGCAATGGCGGAGCGTCGTCTCACCTAGTACTTAATGTAGGGGCCTCAAGAATTGCCTATACTCTTTTGGGGGTTCCTGTTCCTGATTACCATTATAGTATAAGGGGCCCCAACACCCTATTCTAATTATTAAGGCCTCTATATTACGTCCGGGGACTTGGGCTGCTAGACACGGGGCCTGCGCCTGTATGCAGCTGCTGATTCCTGGAGATCCCTCAAGTATCCTCGCCTCGGAGAGGTCAGAACTGTACTGTACCAGGACCCTCCTTGTACCCTCAACTGGGGTGATAGGGTCCCAAATTAAGGGTCTTTTAGGGTCTAATAGAGGGTAGATGGAGGGTCTATATGTCCCATCAATTACCGATAGTGTTCCTTAGGGCTCCTTACTATAATTATGGTACTTATAGGAGGCCGAAACCCTATGCTAGAAAATCAGGCCCCTATAGTATAGCCCGCAGAGCCAGAGCAGGGACATGGAACGCAGCAAGGCCTGAAGGTTTCCGGGTGAGGCTTTCAGGACCCAGCAATCACGGGATTACCACGATCCTAAACCCTAAACCCCTAAACCCCCAAACCCTAAACCCCTAAACCCTAAACGCTAAACCCCGAACCCCTAAACCCTGAACCCTACGCAGAAATGCACCCAGAACCCAAGCTCTTCCTTTCTCAGCGGATGAGGCGCGATGTGTCTGGCGGCCCCTATCTCTGCAGCATCGGGGAGCACTTGGGAAGCATCTTTGCGAGTAGCAAGGAGAGGTCTCCGACAGGGGGAATCAGCTTAACTACCTATACTAGCTAGTCGAATACCTGGGGGATCACCTAAACTTTCATAAATGACAACACGACTCGAAACCACTCGGGATCGGAGATAGAAGGATCTGCAAGATGGAGGGTTTGGGAGCTTGCCCGCGTAGGGTCTTCAACCCTCCACTTCCTAAACCTAAATTACCAGAGAACTGAAGCCCTAAACCCAAAATGGCCTGAAGCCTAAAGCCCTAATAGGGCCATCCAGGCCCCCGGTCCCAAAAGCTCCAAAAGTCGCTTGGAAGATCAGGCTCTAGGGTGTGCTTTCGGGTTTGAGGCTCTTTTCGTTTTTCGGTCACGCGTTGGGCTTGAAACCTCTTCGGCTAACAAAGTTCAACGTTCAAGTCTGAACTGGGCCGACAAGATAGCAACACGTCCTGCTCAAACTGAAACTGAATCCCGAAGGCTCCATGGCTCCATGTACCGCCCTAGACTGAAGCCCCTTAAGACCAATCCTCATTGATCCTTACGACTTTGCAGTAACATCGTGGTCCTCTTCTGGGAGTGCTTGGGCACATTGCAAAGCCCATATTGCAATAAACGTAATACAACCTTAACATAACCTCCCGCAAGATTTAAATCAGTATACACTCTATACAACTTACAAGGTTAGCCCCTCTCGACGCTCTTATAACATCCGATATGCTCTTGTTCCCAAGCGGCGCCCAATAACTGCTCGGAGCGCGGCGACGCTCGAAAATTCAGCGAGGGGCCCGTGATGGCCGGAAAGCCGATAGCACTATACAGAGAGCTCTTGTCACTGTGCAGGACCCGGATTGGGGTCGAGGGTTGAGGGCTTGGCAGCTGCTGTGCGTGAACTTCTGGATGGTACGACTAGCACAACTAGCACAACTGCATCAGGCGAGGTTAGAGGATTATCTTCCTCATTTGAAGGGCGAAGATATGTTGTATGTTGCCTTCAGGGTCCCTGTACCGATATGGTATGTACTTCGCCCTTAAAAATAGACTTAGGAACCCTGGAAGGCTAAAAATATATAGCTGCATGGACCCTTAATTGTGTGGGTCGCGGAATGAGCGGAATTGCAGAGCTGGCGTTTGGGTTACGAGTATCTGCTGGTTTACTTTACCGACATGCAATATTCGAACACAGGGGCTTCACCGTAGCAAGGAGAACGTTAAGAGCTCCCATCAAGTCCGATGCCTGATATGAAACCCGAAGCCCTAATGAAACGGGGTTTTACATGGCTAGCGCTCAACGTCAATTAGGGTTCCCCGGATGGTGCCACAAAGTATTCGGTCACTACAATACCAATCCCAGGTAATCATCCGCTTGAGTTAAGATGTTGCGTCGACTGCAAGCGACACAGATCCGGACAGTGACGGCTCGCGAAGAAAAGCTGTTCAAAACTTTGAAGCTACAATGGAGCTGCACCCTTTCATGCTTAATTCAAAACACTCTCGGTTCTTTGTTTAAAGTGTGGTGGGCCTTTCGCACTGCAGTACGCTTGGGGCTGAGGGTTTGGGCATTGTTCCTGTTGCAACACCCGAACGGCCTACACGTGATTCATGTGAGGGTTCAGGTTTTCAGGTTTAGGGTTTAGGGCTGCCGGCAGGGCCCGAAGCCTTGGGCAAAGTCTCCTGGCTTTATACAGGGTTGGTGTCGCTGGGTCCGCTTTCCGATGTAGGCCAAACCCTGACCCCTAAACCCTGGAGCACTGGGTAGTTCTCGAAAATAGGGTTCCTTTTTGGGTCCCCAATATAGTACGGCACCCTTATAATGAGGACAAAAGGGACCTTGCCTTGGAAAACTAACCATATAAGGACTACCGTAAGTCCAAAGTATATACCATGTGGGTACAGGGACCCGCTGGGCTCTGTCTCAAATCATGCGAGAGTCAACAGTTCTGGGCTACGGGGTGTAAAGGGGTTGAGGGCTTCGAGGTTTGGGGTTTAGGCTCTAGGGTTTACGGCTCAATGGACGCCTCATACAGCGCAGAACAGCTTCCTTGGTGAAGCCCTACCTCTGATTCCGAGAACCTCTTGTAATCTTCCATACCCAGAGCCTTCGAAAATCCACACTTGAGATTTCAAAAGGCGCAACTCGAGTTGAGACCTCTCGGGTCATCCTGCACTAGGCATCACCCTAAGGGTCCAAAGGACCCAATAATTAGATACTTTGGTTACGTAGAGTAGTTATCTAGGTTAATATTTGGGAGAGTATATGATTATTAGGTACTTGGACCCTCAGGGTCAAGGCCTGCTATGGCGAAATGATGATCTGTACCACAAGACGGGAGGCCTTCGCGACTTCGCGACACTACTTTCCAGGGCTTCGGGTCTAGCTTAGGCCGAGTGGCTAAAGTACTAAGAGTTTGAGGCTTACATACATACATACATGCATGCATGCATGCATACATACGTACATACCTACGTACCTGCATACGTACATACCTACATACATACATGCATGCATTCATACAGGCATACATGCATACATGCACACACACACACACATATATATATATATATACATAAATACATGTGTACATCTATGTATGTATGCATGTACAATTGTGTATGAATACATACCTATATATATATATACACATGCATACATACATACACAATAGTGTTTACAAAGGCCGAAAAGTCGGATCCGTAGTCTCAAGCTGCCCAACCAGAATTATGTAAAGCAAGAGCATGTGGGCAAAGCTCGCACATGGCCTTAGGGTTCCTGCAGGAAACCCTTTCAGACCAAAGTAACTACTACATGTGGGTAGGTGTCAAAATTATGGTCCCTTTTGGGGTACCCTAAATAATAGGTGCCGTATTGTAATAACGACCCAAAAAGGGACCATAATTTTGACAACCACCCATGTGTGCATGGGCTCTTCGGGATGTTGATGTATTCTGGAGCCAGATGGGAGTTTCAGAAAACAATGGGTCCTTATTTTGGGGTCCTTATAATAAGGATCCTACTAAATAGGGTACTATATTGGGGTCCCCTATATTCGGAAACCCCCAGATGGCAAATATTCTTTTGTAGGATTGCAATTCGACTACTCGAGGGGCTTTGATATCTAGAGTAGAATAGAATTATAAGGTGTATGTGTAATATAGCATTGCTTTTGTACTCTGTATGAAGCCACCAAAAACC